GTTTACTTACTGATAACTACAAATCAAGGATAATTCATTGATGCAAGACTCAATATTCAACACAATTTGATTGATTGAATGTTTCATACAGCCTCTAGCCGACGAAGCCGTAGCATAGCTAAGCTAGGCCAGGCCAGTGGCTGCTACTTGCTAGGCCTACTACTACTACTAGGCTAGTAGGAAGGCGGTGCAGCAGCTGATGATGCAGAGTTCGATAGAAAAAGGTAAGATAAGAATACTATACAACCATACTAATGTAATAAAAAAATAATACAAAGCCAGGGCAGACTGAGCCTACCCTATCATTTACCTTACATTCTATACTAGGCCTAGTTACTACGAACTACTAATATAGGCCTAGGCCAGGCGTAGACTGCTGTCTGTCGGCCTAGGAGGCCTAGCCTAGTAGTAGTAGGAGTACTAGTTTTTAGGGCCTAGCCCTATGCTCGGGAGGGCCTAGGCCCTAGCTACCTACCTACTCTACTACTGTACTAGGTTAGGCTAGAGCATAGGCCTGGCCCTGCCAATTATTATTATTATTTTTTTTTTTTTTTCGATTTTTTTACTTTTAATTACTGTACATAAATTGTTTCGTCTCATATTTTGTCCAATGTATTTTAAAGTTTTATTTATTTGAATGTCTGCTGCTTTGATATTGTGTTTCCCCATTTTATTATTGAATTTCTTCGTATGTATGTTTTTATAATATTAGGCCTATTAGTATTACTATAATAATAATAATAATATTATTGTTATTATTTTTTTGGTTTATTGCCGTTTTGACTCATTGCCATTTTGATCCATTGCCGTTTTGGTAAAAAAGTGTTGCCGTTTTGACTTACTGCCATTTTGGTTTATTGCTGTTTTGACTAGAAAGCCACCTTCTTAAAAATTTATTGTCCTTTTTTTAATTTGCAATGTACTGTATTACAATCATTTTTTGTCTTTAATTCAACAGAACATGGTAGAGTAGTGGAAAATACCTAAATGAAGATGGAAAAAAAAACAGATAATGATGGACAGGTAAGTTGATCTGATAAGTTATTGTTAGTATTGTTATCGTTTTAATTCTATAGTTACCCTGTCAATTGTTGCTCATTAACCAATTGTTTTTTACTGTAACATATTTCAAATCTCTGAATTTTCAGATAAGTGTTGGCACATCTCACAGATACGTGTGAAAATCATTCATCCCATCGACCATTTTTGGCTATCAAAGAAGAGAAACCTGTGCTCACAACTACAGAAGGATGGATCAGCCCTGGTAATACAAATACAAGGTAATTACAATGTGAATTGTAAACATTAAGCCTAAAGATAAGCCTTGTGGTCAATTACATGAAACATAATTATTTGGGTTTTTTGTGTTGTTGGCCTACAGTAGAGTTAGATTGATTGATATAGTAGCACGTCATACTGTATTCTTAATTGTTAAAATTAGTATTAAAACACACACTTTGCCAGGGTCTGGTGGGGCACATAGGGCTCCAGGTAGTATTAATTGTAAAGCACATACTTCGCCAGGGCCTGGGTGCAGGGAACAGATAGAGGTATGGTGTAGAAGCTCCAGTTCGCTCTGGTGACTGACTTTTTTGATGTATTAACACATGGCTGATTTATGACACATGGTTTGAAGGAGGGTCTAATGTCCTGGCAGAAAAAAAGCTGATTAATATACGGGCCCTTAAGGTCTATAATTGCCACTGACTTTGGTCAATAAGTAGAAGTGGTTTGGTGCAGGGGAAACGGTCCCAACATTGAGGTCAGGGTTTCAATCCCCTCACTGTGTATTTCACTTGTGTCCTTGGGCAAGGCATTTTATCTGGTTGCTTCTCTCCACCCAGGAGTATAAGTGGGTACCTGGTAAAGTTAAATACCAACATGCGCTGATGTACCTGCTGCAGCGTTATAGAATACTCCCCCAAGATTAAATTTTGTGTTCCATAGGCATTAATCCAATGAGGGCCTAACAATATGCAAATGTAAGGGCACATAGAAAAAAACTAAATTAGATTATCACTTTTAAAAAAAAATCAGAACACTACAATAGATTATTGCTTTTTTTTAATTGATGAGAGGGACTGTTTTTATTTGGCAAGAATATTGCAAGTATTGTATAAAAACTGATTTAATTTTATTGTTTTTTAAGAAAAATGTATTTCCAGTCAAAAATTGCATCATTTTTTAAAATCTGTTAACATTTTTTTTATTCCCACATCAATATTTCCCAAATTTAATCTAACAAATTTTTCTATTCGCCTTACGTCCTGTCTCTTATACACATCTAGATGTGTATAAGAGACAGCATATATACTTTCCCTTCAACTATCATCTTTACTCCTTTTCTACCATGTTATATTTTTTGTTGTTGAAATAATTGATATTTCAATTTCTTTTTCAGGACTGATTCAAAAAGCAACAATATTTGTAATCATACGGCCATACCAAGGAGGCGAAAGCTGTAGAAAGCTCCCATTTCAATCGGTACTTCACTTAACAAAAGATAATTGACAAGTTAAAAAGTAATTAATTGATCTGTTGATTGTTTTTGTTTTTTAGTTCACCTTTCTGCAAAGTGCACATAACTGATTTATTTATATTTTCTAAATTCAGTAAATTTTTTTTTTAAATAAAATAAATCAATTGTATTGTAATCATCTATAATCTTTTAATTTAATCCTTAATGTATTTTTAAATTTGCTCACTATACACAATGTAATTAAAGTGTACAGTAGTAATAACTGCATTGTGTTTTTTTTTATATATTATTAATTCATTGTATGACTAATACTATAGATCTTGTTATGAGTATAGAGTAAATATAGAATGTAAATGTGCATTGATTTTTAAAAATACAGTATTTTCTTAAATTTTAAATATTGCATTGAATGTATTAAAGAAATATATAATTTACATTTAGATATTAATATGATAAATAATTTTAAAATGGTCAGAGTATGTTATAATTGTAACTGTTGGTGGAATTTAATAATAAATGCACATTAATAAGTATTAACAAAAATGTTGTTTAAATTATTTTGGTGATAGAGTAAGTACAGTAAATAGATATTGCAGCGACTCAGAGTTACTAATGATAACAGTTTGCCAGTTAGAATTGAAACCCAGTGGAAAAAGCAGTTGGACCTCATAACTTTTTGAATACCAGTTGAACCAGTTGGAATTGAAACCTGTTGGAAACCAGTTGAAAACCCATTAGAAAACCAGTTTGCATAAAAAAGTATATGTAACCTATAGGGGCCTGTAGGATCCTAAAGGGACCTATAAGATCCTATAGGCCCTAGGATCCTATAGGTCCCTATAGGATCCTAGAGCCTATAGGATCCTATAGGGGCCTATAGGATCCTATAGGTCCCTATAGGATCCTATAGGCCCTAGGATCCTATAGGATTCTATAGGTTTTTCGCCAATAGGTTCCTATATGATCCTATAGGATTCTAAAGTGGCCTATAGGATCCTATACGCCTATAGGGACCTATAGGATCCTATAGGCCCTAGGATCCTATAGGAT